GCTGCACTTCCAGGCAAAGCAATTTCCACACAGAGCTTGATCGTGAGACTTCCTTTCTCTGATACCTATGGAGGAATCAAGGTCAGACTTGTTGAGGAATGTTCATAATGTGACTTCAACCTGTCTTTCCAGTCCTCTCCGACTCTCCCCTAAATATACTTTTTATTTCAACCAGAATTATCTACTTTTGTGGATTCTCCCTCTGTGCCTGTACACACAATGCATTAGGTTCTTTCCTAACAAACATTCTATTGCTAGAAAATTAAAGCTTTTTCTGTAGAAGCTTTAGAAGTTTCAAACTGGAAATCCCATGTGGAATTATATATAATTTGACTTTCTGAAAGACTCACAGGTGAGACATCCTCACGAGGGAAATGGTGTAACCTGATCTCAGCTGATGGCAGGACTCGTCCGGTTTCCTGGAGAATCCGTTCACAACTAAAATTGTTTTGGGACCCTTACCCAGTTTACTCAAGAACAGAATTCTAGGTAATTAGTTTACCACCAGAAATGTGCAAGACCACATTTCCTAGACCACCTGTCTTTTCTCCCTTGCTTAGTTCAAGGACCTCCTATCATGAGAGCAATTTGTGTAAAAAAAAGTTTTCTGAAATAGGCACAGAAACTATTTCCTATTTATATTTAAAAATGTTGTTTTAATGACTTGAAAGTCATTAGAAAAATGTTTTCTATTTTTATTATGTAAAAAAAAAAAAAAAAAAAAACCTGTTCACTTAATGGAGTTTGTGTAAAAATATCCTTGTCCTTGGTATCAAAGCATTTTTATATTAACCCATTTTCTTCTGTGAGGTCCTAATCCACAGAGGGCTACCATCTTGATTTCTCAGTGATACAGCTCATTTCACTCTTCAAACTGCCTGCATATAAATGATTCAACCAATTTCTACTGAGCTTCTATAGAGAGACACACATTTCTGCCATATAAAAGGTAGACTTTCCCCAAGATTTCTATTAACTTAAATGGTAACCTTCAGTTGTGTCAGTCTTCATAACCACAAGGCCATATACCTCATAAATAAATAATTTCACAACACCAAACAGTACTTACTCTTTCAGATTTCAGGTTTCCCAAGTGGTTGTATGGTCCCTGGTTTGCTTTCAGTTGAGCTCCTGAGTAGAACTAGACACAGTGTGTCTTGTTCATCATTGTGGGTTAAGGCAGACCATCAAGGTTTTTTGTTTTTGAAAAAGCCTTTTTCATCTCCCCAATTTGTTCAGCTCTTGCTCACTATTCCCTGTGCACTATCAAGATTTGTCTATTATAGGCACTTTATAAATATTTGTTTCTGTATTTGTGCTAGAGTTGCCGTATTACAGACTGGGTGGCTAAACCAACAGATAACTCAGCATCGGAGTTACGGAAGTGAGAAGTCCAAGATCAAGGTGTTGGGAGGCTTTTCTTGTAAAGCCCCTTTGCTTGGCTTGTTGATTCTGGTCACCTCAGTGTGTCCTCATATACTGCATGCATCCCTGGAGTCTGTGTCAACACTTCCTCTTCTTATAATGATGGTAGTCAGTTCAGATTAGAACTCATCCTGACGGCCTCATTTTAACTCAATCTCTTTGAAGATCCTTTCTCCAAGCATAATCACATTCTGAAGTACTAGGGGTTAGGACTTCAATGCATGAATTTTGGGGAAACACCATCCAGCGCATAAGTTTCCTAACAAAGAAATCTAAACTGTCACTTACAGGTCTTAAAAGATTTTGGCTCTTTCTTTGGGCCAAAGTGTTAGTGTCAAAAGAAAATAAAACTTAAGTAGGCCACACAGGGCGGAAAAGAATCAAAGTGCAGGTTGCCTGGAGACCAGACATTTGATCACACCTACTTTGTTACACTATCCCAGTTTCATGTGTAATTCTTAAACAGCCCTCTCCTCTTGACCAAAGGAGTATTTATTTGAGGGCCAGAGATGTTAGTGTGTATGTGTAAAAATAAGCATTTAATGTATTTCAGGTATCTAGCAAAGTATTTTAACACACCATATCTGAATTCATCCTCCTAAGTCTGAGGTAGGGATGATTTTCCCCATTTTTTAGATGAGGAAACTGAATTTCAGAAGTAACTTGCGCAAGTCACTGGGCCAAAACTGAAAGGAGACTCCAAAGGCCAACAGCTCTGTGGTGTGGTTTCCTGGCTCCCCTCCTTTTTTCAGGTGAGACTGAGGGAGCTGCAAAGCTCTTGCCACGACTGGTTCTACATCAAGCTGTGGCTGCCAGCACAGCACTTCTGCTAATACCAACAGCACAGGCAACAAAATAAAAAAGCAGATGACTTTACCAAAATTTTTAAAATGTGTGCATCAAACAACACTATCAAGAAAATAAAAACATCAACTCACAAAATCAAATATTTGCAAATCAAATATCCAATAAGCAATTTATATCCCAGAATAAAGATCAACTAGAACTAAACGACAACAAAAATAATTAAAACTTGAACAGACATTTCTCCAAAGATACACAAATAGCCAATAAATACTTGAAAAGATGCTCATCACTAATCATTAGGGAAATACAAATTAAAACAAAATTAGATACCACTTCACACTTATTAGGATGGCTATTATTTAGACAAATAAAAAGTTCCTTAAAAAATTAGTTCTTTAAAAAAATTAAAGAGAATTACAATATGATTCAGTGATTCCACGTCTGGGTATATAGTAAGAACTGAAAGCAGGGGCTTAACCAGATAATTACACACCAGTGTTGACAGCAGCATTATTCACCACAGCCAAAAGACAGAAACAATTCAAATATCCGTCACCAGATAAATGGACTAACATAATGCAGTAAATATATAAAATAGGGTATTATTCAGCCTTAAAAACTCATGAAATCCTGATCGATACAATATGGATGAAACTTGAAGACATCATGCTAAGTGAAATGAGACACAAAAAGACAAAATATTCCATGATTCCACTTATATGAGGTACCTATAATAGTCAAAATCATAAAGAAAAATGTTGGGGCTGGGAGAATGGGGAGTTATTGCTTAATGGGTATCATTTCTGTTTGGATGATGAAAAAGTTCTGGGTAGTAGTGATTATATAATAATGTAAATGCTCCTAATATCATTATACTATACAACTTAAAATGTTAAATTTTATGTTGTATATTTTTTTCTCATCCGATTAGCTACAATAAGAAATGTAGCTAATGTGAAGAATTTTTAACTTCAATTAATTTAAATAACTTAAAAAACTGATCCTTGACCCTGGCCAGTATGGCTCAGTTGGTTGGGGCGTTGTCCTTTAAACTGAAAGGTCGTGGGTCTGATTCCTTGTCAGGGCATATACAAGAGGCAACAGATGATGTTTCTCCCTCACATCAATGTTTCCCTCCTTACCCCTCTCTAAAATGAATGGTCAAGACCTTGAGTGAGGAGTAAAAAAATGTAAAATTTATAATATCTATTTTGTAAAGAAGCTCTCTTTAGAAGTATAGAAAAATATAACCTCACACATTTAATATGCCAACTTTGTTTACAGGACTGGGGCAATGTTAATACAGCTATCTCTTTTCACTATCAGGGGAAAAGTCTTCCATTTTACACCTCAAGCCTAATTTCACATTGTAAATTACATAGCCTGCCTTTAAATAATCTTCAATCACACATAGCTAATAAGCATCTAAATATTTATAGAATACTTACAGAAACACAAGTTGAATTCACAGAAGCATATATTAAATCAAAAGTACATGCCAATGCCACCAAAGTGGTTTTATTTTTGTCACTGACAACATGCACAACACTGGGATTGTATCATTACTTTGGTTTCTTTAAATATTACTGATGCATTATAAATATATGTTTATATTTAAGAAATGTAACATACTAAGGAAATCCTCTGTAAACATAACTCAATAAATTTTTCGTGCTTTGTTTCATACATAACTAACTTAACCTACAGAGTCATAAATAATTAAAGTATTAACTCTAAGGGCCTAAAAATATATCCAAGTTTTGGAATTTGAGTGTTCTAGGATTTTATAAATAAAAATATGCAGCATTTGCAGTATTTATCAGCAAATAAATGACTTATCCCAGGTTCTTACTATCTTCCAATAGACCCTCCCCATAATAGATCTTCCAGGACAGTTGGTATAGGTGTCATGCATTTAAAAAGTCAAAATGATCACCCTGGCCAGGTTGCTCAGTTGCTTAGAGAATCATCACAATATGAAAGGTATCAGGGCACGTACAAGAAAGCAATGAATACAAAAAGAAACAGAACAACGAATCGTCGTCTCTCTCTCTCTCTCAAAAATAATCCATCAATATAAAGTCAAAATGGTCAAAAAAACTAGGTTTGTAACACAGTACAGAAGGTTGCCATTTAATTATTACTAAGCCTTACTAAAATCACTTCAGTTTTTCTGAAGAAAAAATAATGCTACTAAAGAGTAAATGCTTATACTATCATTTAAATGGGAGCTAACAAAGTCTAAAATAAAACCAGATTAAATTTGTATTATTAGTCTTGGGAAAAATATTACATTGAGATTCTGTTACAGAAACAATATTTTGAAGAAAATTTTAATTAGTTAAAACTTGTAGGATAAAAATAATGACACAAAAATAATTTTAGAAAGACATTATGGAACATTTGATTATTTAGGTTTTGTTTAATGACTGGAAATCTTCATTCCTTCAGAAAACAGTAACATATTTGTTGAATGACATTTCCTGTATAGTGATTAGATAACCACTAGCTATCTACTGAGTTATTAGATAACCACTCAAATTATTTTCATATGATAAAAATAAAAAGAATTTTGTATGTTGAAAATGTTTCACCAGGTGTCATTCTTTAGGTCATCATTTACAGAGTATAAAACTAAGAGAAAAAAAAATCCTCAATTAATATTCTCATTAAATGATTCAAATGACAAGTGATACTAAGCTAAGTATTATCACTACTTTTAAAATCTATGTTTTTAAAAGTTTTATTTTACATAACCCATCTGTTTCACACAATTAACTGCTGGACAAATTGTTTAAAAACGAAATATTCTTTGTAGGTTATAACAATTTTTTGTGCTCTTAAAAAAAGATTCTGATATACATAATGAATCTGAATCAAAATTCACAAATGGTGATTGAAATTCTGTCAGCTTTGAGCCCAATGCAACATAAAATCCAGTTATCTTGCATAAACAATTTAAAATTAAAGTTTATAATAGAAATGTCAGCAAGTCATAACTACTACATTACTACTAATGGGTTCCATTATACTTCAAACAGGCACAGCAGATGTGCACATCTGATAGACAGACTGCTTAGAAAATTAAAGCTATCAGATCTATAAATAAGGAATACATAAATATAAACACTGTAATAATGCCAAAGCATTAGAGCTATTTAAAAAAGTACGATGTGACATAAACACATCTGATAGTTCTCTCTGTAAGCCACTTTTCACTGATTTATAAAGCTATGGTTTTATAATTCTTTTAAAAAGGAAAAAAATGTTGCTACACTGCTGCATGCAGTAATTTCATTGCACATTCTTGACTACAATGTGATCTTTGAATCCTCTTGCAGTGCTTGACATCTTATTAGGATTTTTCCGGAAAGTCAGCTTGTCATATTTTCAGCGGCCTATAACAAGAAAGTAAAATTCATTAAAATAAAACCATGGAAAAAGATACACCATGGAAATAAATTTGTCAATACCACACTGTCACTAACAAACAAATCCTCCCTAACATGTACCAAATGAGTTTTATCAGGATAATACAGTGGTTTTCACTTTTTGCAATAAATTAGATCTGCCTTATATACTGAGTGCTAGGGTAAAAGCAGGAAATTATTTAATCTTAAACAATATAGTTAATGTAAAAATACAATGCTACTTGAAACATTAACCTCTGAAGATCTTACCCACATAGTCTTTATTAGTTTGTCTGTTTCTGCATGTTTCATTATGGTATGAAAAGGGGATTAAGATTTCTGTTAATTCTGTTATTCTATAAACTGGAGAAAAAAGAACAAAGGAGAATAATGAATGCATAGCTAATCCTGCTTTACCTACACCACCAACCATTATATGTTCCATGATTATTCTACAGAAATTTCCAGACACCATATTATTCACCAATAAATGACTTGGTATGTATTTCTGAAAATAAGAATTTAAACAATTTCTTAACGCCAAAACGGAAAATGTTGATTTTAAATAAGTTTAACTTCAGAAATACATGGTAAACTTCTAATTCATTTACATTTTCTAATTATAACTGGCCTTTTAAGTTTAGTCTAATTTCAGAAGTCTTCATGAAAATCCCTTAAGATATCAGGAAAACTAGATAACTCAATCTGAGACATTCTCAGTCAACAGAACCTACCTTGCTTATTTATATAGTTGGCTATTCTAAATTTGCCTTTTCCTTCTTTGGGTTTACTAAATTCACAAGAATTAAAACCTAAGTTTGAAAAAAACAATGTCCCTTATAACCTGAGGGAAGGATATTCTATAATTCAACAAAATTAAGTATAATACTTTGATTTTTAAAGTAGTGTGATACTACCTAGAATGGTGTTTACTAAATATTATCACTGGTTATCTCCTAGGTAATTTTGAATGACTTTTTTATCTCTGATATTCTGATTTAAATGTTTTTAAATTATGAGCATGTATTATTTTTATAAAAATTATATGGATTTCAAAAATTACTTTAAAGAAAACAAGAAAAGGTTCTAACTAGCATTTCTTTGCTGGGAACTTTCAAGCATCTTCTCCATACCCAATTTTAATGAGATACTGGCATTCTGGTTTTAGATAATGGCAGAAATGTGTTTTAAAAGGCTGTGTGTGTATGTGTGTGACTGGTCTTCCATTCCAATAAGCAACAATTTGTGATCTGTTCAACTTATTATTGATTTTGGCTTCATATCAGACTGTGGTCCACTGAATGTGAAATAAACAGTAAGCTCAGAACCAAAAAATCTGTTATTTAGGTAGTTCTGAAACCCCTAGCCTAATACGTGGGGTTTTATTTTGTCTAAGAAAATACTATCCCAAATACTTCTGTCAGTCTCTCTTGTACATTATTTTAAGCCAGATTTGTCGTCTCTGGTTCCTTTATAGTACTCAAACTGCATTATGATACGAAAATCTATGCCTGGAAGCAACCTAATAACCATTCACAGTGGCAAAGATAACTAAGTTATAGTATATTTGTAAAATGAGACATGATTATTATAATGAAAATGTATTACAGCTATACACAAAATAAACCTCCCAAACATATTAAGTGAAAGAACCCAGTAAAAAAAGGATTGTGCTGTACGATTCCATTTGAGTTGAAAAATTTTAGAGAATTAAACTGCAGTGTTTAGAGGTCCATGCTTAGTCAATAAAGCTTTAAAAGAAAAGTGTCTATTATAAAAATCAGGACGGTAGTTACTGGAGGGGGAAGCAGGAAGAAGTCAGTGATGGGGGGAATAGAAGGGGTCTTCTATGGTGCTGGCAATGAGAGTTGCATAGATTTTCTCTTCATGATAAATGCTTTGTTTACTTTTTTGTTATTTTAATAATCAAAAGGTTTTAAAAAGCACAAAACCAACAACCCAAATCACTGAAACTTACTGGAGAATAACACTGTGAGATGGGTAAGCTACATGTTTTGTATAGTTCTATTTTTTCAAAGAAAAGAAGGCTAAAGAAAAGCCACTTTGTCCTTAGGAGTTTTAAACAGGACTAAGTTGAAGTTTCAGTCTCTTGCATCATGAGTTAGTGCTATATAAACATGGAAACAAAATTGCCCGAGATTTTAAATCAGAGTGTGTGTAAGCAAGACACGGAACACTTTTCATGTCCCCAATCTCAGCAGTTAAAAGGTGCTAAATTTGAATTTGACAAAAGGTTGTCCTCTGGGCCCACGGTGGCAGTAGAACCCAACTGCCCTCAGCGGTTCCCTGGTCTCTGAGCTCCTCTAAGTCATTCTTCCTTTGCCAAAATAAACTCATGTTCACAGGCAGTTAGCTCTCTAGGCCAATTTCCTGCATGTGGAATGCCCAAAGTCTGACAGTCTTCCTTCATTTTATACGGTATAGGACCCTTTCGGTCCAACCTGGCAGTGCTTTCTGCTGGATGTCTCATTGCATCTATAAACCACACACCTAACCTCTTCAGCAATAGGTTCCCCAACCACACTCCTGTTCTCCTCTCCACAATGTGCTGTCTGGGCAGGCTTAGAGTTTGCCAAGGCTAGTGCTAGTTCCTTTTTGTTTACTCTCAATTTCTGATTCCTCTTACATTTTACTATAAGCAGCAAGATTTCAAGCTGCACATTCCACAGTTTGGAAACTTCTTCAGCTTCCAAGTTCACCACTTACAAGTTTTATTTTCCTTCCAAACAACAGAACTTAATTCAGCCAGGGCTCCTTCATTTTATAGCAAGGATAGTCTTTCCTTCAGTGCCCAATACATGTTCCTCACTTCCATATGAGACTTCACCAAGAGTACTAAAGTCCTTATTTCTTGCAAGATTCTATTTGTAATGATATATGTATTTTCTAAGATGATGGAAGCGTTCTCTACAGCTCTCTTCTCTCTGAACTGCCTTCACTAGAATTGTTACAAATGCCCATAGTTCTACAAATCATCTCTTCAAGATAATTTAGGCTTTTTCTACCAAGTGCATTAAAACCTCCCAATCTCTATTTGTTACCCAGTTCCAAAGACACTTCCACATTTGTAGGTATTTCTTAGAGCAGCACTCCCTTTCCCAGCAGTAAATCTGTATTAGATTTCTAAGGCTGTCATAAGAAAAGTACCAAAAACTGGGTAATTTTAAACAACAAAACATTTATTCTCTCACAGTTCTAGAGACATAGTCCAAAATCAAAGTGTCAGCAGAGTAACCCGCTCTCTGGAGACTCTAGCAAAGAATCCTTCCTTACTTCTTGTGGCTACCAGGAGTCCTTGGCCTTCTTTGGCTGGTAGATGTCATCACGACACTCTCCCCTCCTGTGTCTGTGCCTTCACATGGTTCTTTGTATATCTGTGTCTAAATGTCACTTGCCTTACAAGGAAGGACATCAGTCATTAATACCATTAATACCTCATCTTAATTTGATTATACCTGCAGATACACTATTTCCAAATAAGATCACATTTATAGGTACTGGATCAGAGTATGTGTTATTTCACACAGACATATTTTTACCCACAACACAAGGAAAATTCTAAACAGACCTGGAGAAAACTACTAGGAAAAAAAACAAACCATGATCCATGATAGTAGCAATTTTGTGATTGGAACATATGCTACTAAGATAACGGTCTTCAGAATTTCTTCTGATAGTGACAGAAGTTACTTTAATCATGTTTAAGATCTTTTATAAAACTTCATCATTAATTGTTTTCTAAACAAAAGCATCTTTGTTTAGAATGAACAACTGAATCTCTACCTTTAGTGCTTCGGTAGCCTTGCGAAGTTCCTTTATAACTGATGATAAAGCTTCTGGGTTAATTCCTTGTTCACAAAGTCGTACACAGATAGACAGAGTCTCCATATCTAAGCCAGTATTTAAAATTCTTGAAATCTCAAGCAGAACTGAAAAAAGATAGGAAAAGTGTTAAAACAAAATCTTACACTTTAAAATATGCAAAATACTTTTGTTTTTAATTCATACAATACTGCAAATACCAAAGACATAGCAGAGCATCCTTACACTGGGAAATAGGCATGTAATACTGTCTTCCCCTTCCTTAGCTCTAGAAGCTTCAAAATAAACTCACAACTGCCCTTCACACAACTGCTTTATGTAACTTAGTTCTTAATTCTACCATTCATTTAATTATGCATCATAATCAGGATTACTCTGAACATTTCTCCACTTTTTATATTGTTTTACAATGTAGTTTAGTCAGTCACATATTTTATGGAAACACCATACATTACTTAACCACTCTATTTTAAGAGTTAGGTAGCTTTCATATTGTCCCCCATTAAAATAATACTGCAATACATACCTGTACATACTAACTCAATTTTATTTTATTAGGATAAATTCCTAGAGGTGGAACTACTCAGTCAGTAGTATACATATTTAAGGCTTTAAAAATATTTAGAGACTTTTACAATTTGAGAGTATTCATGTTTGCTGAATCTAAGAAAATGAAAGCTTATATTAACTTCATTTTTATAGTACTTCATTTTATTATAGTTTATAAAATTATCTTTCACATGACAAACACTATCACAGAGTAAATACACTGGTCACATTACATTTTGTTTCTAGAATTTTTTAAGTCAATGGTTAATGTGTTATCTATTGTTCTCCTCTATCATTTTCCCATGGCATTATGCTTAGAAACTTATTCCCCACGCAAAGATTAAATAATTATTTACCAGTATTCTCAACTAGCACTTGAAACTATATTTCATCTCCCCCATCCATCAATACTTAATATGTAACTCTCTGGAATTTGGTTGGAAAATGGAATCTCTAACTTTTCCTTCCAGAAATGTCAGTTGCCCAATACTATGTATTGAATGGTCTATCCTTTTACCACTCAATTAAGATGCCACCTTTATCACATAGTAAACTGTCATATACCTTTGTTACCTTTTATTATCATATGCCCTTTCATTCCCTCTGTGAACTTAAAAATGTTGATCAATTCCAAAAACAAATTCCATTTGAATTGCATAAAAACTACCTATTATTTTGGGACAAATGGGTAAGTTAACAGTATTTAATCACCTATTAATTTAAATCTTCCCAAAAACCTTTATAGTACTCACAATGTTCATGAGTGGGGCCTTTCCCGATTTCTCTTATATGACATTCATCTGTAGAAGTTCAATTTCAGTGTTTTAAAAAAAAAATACGTCTTCCATGCCTCTACTTAACTTTTGAACACACTGAGTACAGTTCTAATGTCTTTGTCAGGTAATCTAAACGTATGTGGCAATTTTGCGTATGTTTCAACTGAATGAATTTTTCTCTTTGTCACAGGTTGTATTTTCCTGCTTCGCATACCTAGTAATTTTTGACTGATGCCAGACATTGTGAATTTTACCGTGTTGGTTGCTGGATATTTTTGTTTCTATACATATTCTTGAGTTTTGTAATGAGGTGCAGTTATCTGGAAACAGTTAGATCCTTTTGGGTCTTTTAAGATGTATTAGTCAGGACCAGAGCCCAATTTACAGTAAGTGTAGGGCTAATTATCCCCCATCACTGAGGTAAGACCCTCTTGAGCCCCCTACCCAAAGCCTTATGAATTATGAAGTTTCCCATTAGAGTTGGTAGATAAAGACACTATTCTCAGTCCTGTGTTAGCATGGTATATATAACGCTCCCTCTCTTACTTTTGGATGGTTCTTTTCCCAGCTTTCGGGGTACTTTCTTCACATACACGTGCTATCCAATACTCTGCTGAATATTTGAGGGAAACCTTCTGCAGACTCCAGAATTCTCTCCAGATGCAGTTTTCCTCTGATGCACTCTTTTGCAAGCTCTGCTTGCTGTGATCTCCCTGGACTCTCTAAGCTCCTTCTCAATTCAGGGTGTCCAATGGGTTCCATCTGATTCCTCCCCAATCCCCACTGCACTGTGGTCTGAAAACACTCAGAAGGCAGTAGTAAGCTGGGGCAACAATCTGGCTCACTTCATTTGTTTTTTGCCTTTCAAGGATCACTGACCTTTGCTGCCTAATGTCCAGTGAAATGAAAACCGTAATTCTACATGTTTTGCCTGGGTTTTGTTGGTTGTTTCAGGTAGAAGGTTAATTCAGTCCCTGTTATTCCATGACTGAAAGCTAACATCCCCTTCCTATCTTCATTTCTTCAGTTTTGGTATTTCAACATACTGTTATTCATGCTATCTTCTAAATTAATTTCAATAACTCTATTTTTGGATTTATAATTTCCCACCATTGTCAGTTATTCTTTTTTCATAGCTAACTGCTTATTTAAAACCCGTTACTTTCTGGCTATTGTTTCTGTTTTTATTTAAGGCTATATTCTCTCCATATGCCATTTCTGAGATTTCTGTTTCTTCAAGTATAAGTAAGTAGCAAAAAAAGTGGTTAAGATTTATGCTTTCCAGGGCCAGACTACCTGGCTAAAATTCCACATTCAGTACTTAATATGCAAGGTAACCTCACTGCTCCTTTGTTTCACCATTCTGTAAAACAGGAATAATCATAATACTTACAGAATTGTTTTAAGAATTAAAGGATGCATTAGAATGGTGTTTGACATATGGTAGTGCTCAATACTACCACTACTTTCTTTTTTTTTCATTTTTCATGTTAGTTGCTGCATTTATGTTTTTCCTCTACTTTAGGTCCTTTGTGATTTTAGGAGATTTTCTTAGTACGTGTATTTTTGTATTTCTTCCTGTAACCTTTCTTTTACAATTCACATTGATCTTTACTGTCTGTATTGATAATGTGTTCTATATTGGTAATGCATTCTTGGATGGGTAGTATCACACTGGCCACAACCTTCTTCATCAGGCTTTGTGGAAGCACCCTGGCTCCAGACACATAAGACACATGGATGGTGTTTCTCAATCCCTAGCCATGGCAGATGGCATCTTTCCGACCCCTAGCTTCACTCAGGCAGGGCAGCATGCTTTGTCAGGTTTCGTTCCCAATCCCCTGCTGTAGTTCCCATCTGCTCCTTTCTTTGGGGGTAGAGGTGGACTTCCCTCTTTCTAATCAATGAAGATTTCTCTTTCCTGGTTTTAAATATGGCTATACTGATAATTGTATTTTAACAATATTTCCTGTCATTTTCATAGGCTTAGAGCAGAAAGTTTCAAGCAGTGCTCCACTGCCATCAATTCTGATAGTGAATAATAATTTTTTTAATTTTTAGTTTTGTGTTCACAATGGATTCTATCTCACTCCTGCATATTTTAAGTACTTAGTGCTGATATTCTAGGATATCATTTATTTTTATTTTGTAGTCAGCTACCTTAACAAATTCTACTGAAGCCTCTAACAGATTTTCAGGTGATTCTCTTGTGTTTTATAGTCAGATAATCATTTCACCTATGAATAGCTGTTTTGTGTCCTTTTTGAGTGTCTCTTTTTTAATCCTGTCCTATTTGTTAAATCTTTCATATCCATGTTTTTAAGAAAGTAGAGAAGGAAGGTACTTCCAATTTTATTTAGAATGCATTTAATATTAATGTTAAGGACGATGTTGGTTTCACACAGCTATCCTATAGCATGTTATAAACATACTGTTTTCTTTTGTAAAGACTTTACAATCAGGAAAACATGTTAATATCATCTTATCAATACCTTTTCATCAATCACTCAAATGACAGGTAGCTTTTCTTCTTTGACTTAGTGACATAATACATTATATTGACAAACTATATTAACAGCTGAAGAACACTGAGCTTGGGAAATCCCTACTTTTACAGTAAGCAGTTTCAAGCCTGCTCTTCACCAGGAGGTAGATGTTACCTCACCCCTCACTGTAAACACAATCCTGAAAAACAGCGGGAGCAAAGAGCAGTCAAGGCTTTGTATTCTTGGCATACAGAGCAAGAATGTATAGGTATGATCAGGGCTCTAGAAGACTGCGCCTCCCAATAGTGACACTACATAGCTTTTGAGGCTAAGTTTAAAGATGCAATATACCTTCCTCATTGCTCTGGGTTGAGACATTCTCCCTTGGAACCCAGCCTCTGAGTGTGAGAAAACCCACCTGTTCCAGACAACAGCCCCTGCTGAGAGCCCAGCTTACAGTCTGCGCCACGGAGTAGTAACATGAGTGAGGAAGCTTTGAGATGACCCCAGGCTCAGCACTGTCTAACCGCAATACATGAGACACCCTCAGTACAACCACCTAGATGAACCTGGTCAACAGCCAAAACTGTGAGAGGTAAGTAATTTTTGTTGTTTTATGCCATAAGTTTGGGACGGTTTTTTATGCTGCAACAGGTAACAGTATATATTCTGATCATATTCCAACTCTGACATCATCATCACCATCATCGTGACAAATTAACTTCCTGACGAATTCTCCTGTCCAGTTCTTCTTCATGGTAGACCCTTATATCTTCTTATTTCTGACTTCATGCCTTTGATTATGCTTTTCTCTTTGCTCCATATAATTTCACCTTAGTACGTGTATTTTTGTATTTCTTCCTGTAACCTTTCTTTTACAATTCACATTGATCTTTACTTCCTAACTTTACAAACTGTCTGTGATCAGGATTTCCGTGTAATTCAGTGTCCACAGTGAAACTGGTACCAATATGTATTTTGTGCCTACCATGCTACTGCTGAAAATGTAGTTTTGAACAAGACAGATATGGTCCCAGTTCTCATGGACATTACAGTCTAAGAGGAGAGAGAGACATTAAAATAACTGATTTCAGTTATGATAAGTAAAATAAAGGAAAATAACATACTTCCAAAAGAAATTATAAGAACATCTTACCTAGTTGTGAAGGACACGTTTAAGAAAGACTTTGTCTGAGGAAGTGACAAGCTTAAACTTCAAGGGTGAATAGAAATCAATTTGACTTATGCAGAGGCAGGAAGAAGGGCAAAGACTGGGGGCCAGAAAAACAGCTTACGCTGGGGAGAATTTGGTAAATTAAAATGATGTGAAAGGCTCATGTGAATACAAAGTAATTAAAGGAGATGAACAGCTGTAAAATATGAGCTGTAAAATATGAGATGACATGAAAATCTACGAAGGCCCAGTTGAAGAGTTTAGAACTTGAGGAAGCTATTAGAAGGTACAAAACAGGAGTGTGACAAGATCAGATTTTCATTTTTAAAAGACTTTTGCTGCATATTACTGAGTGAACCTTGAAAAACGATAGAATGAATGTGGAGAAAGTCCAATTAAGTCACTGCAATTTTGGTGAAAGACTGGTGGATGGCATGAACAGGAGAGATCAAGACAAGTGGTCAAATCTGAGATGAGTGAAGAACAGAAAGGGCTCAGTGAAGAATAGGAGGTAGGGGAGATGAGAGAAAGCAAAACTGACTCTCAGCTTCCATTCTCAGAAGAGCATCTAGATGGATGGTGGTAGCATGCATGGACTTATACATTTGTTTCAATGACAATTCCTTAATACACTGTGAACTCTCTTAACACCTTTTTTCTAACTACCTGGTATATAAAGTAGCATTATACAGAAGCCTCTAATAAGGAAGAGGTACATTTGTACAATTGTTAAAAACATAATTACTAGTAGTAAGAAATTAGAGCATTAGGAAATTTCTAGAATATAAGAAAAAAGAAAGTATGAAACTATCAATATAGAGTATCTAAAATTTCAAAACACTGAAGAGCAAAAGAGACAACAGAGTACATAGGAGGAGAGAATAGCTGAAAGAAGCTGACATTTTCAAGAGGTAATGTAGGAAGACAATGTTGAGGATCTAAAAGTAAGCACAGATGATCTTATGCAATAGACCTTATACTAAGTCAGGGCTAGAATCAATCAGGTTCTTTTCAGACATCTGTGCAGATTAATAACAAAGTCCACTACTTCCTCCTGTTCTTAGTGTCTTTATCAAAATCCTCTCCATTTGCCCTGACCGCTGTGGCTTAGCTGGTTGGGTGGCATACCACAAAACGAAAGCTTGCCGGTTCAACTCCTGGTCAGGGCACACGCCTAGGTTGTGGGTTCAGTCCCTGGTCAGTGGCACATGTCACCCCTAGTGGCAATGAATTGATGTTTCTCTCCCCTTTCCCTTCTCTCTAAAATAAATAAAATCTTTAAAAAATCTTTTCATTTCACAATAAAATTACACATATTTATAGCTGAGTTCTACAATCCTTGCAAATCACTAACATCCATTAAAAAATTGGATCACTGTTAGCTGACTAATATTTATGGGAGGGAAGTAGTAATAGAACAAGGAGAAATACATCTTGAAGGAGGGTAGTCAGACTCAAAAAGTTTCAGACACTTCAGTTTGGCTCTTATGTATAGATTTAAATACAAGTGAAATCCCACATTGTAGAACTTCAAATAATAATGTTTGAGTAAGTCAGTCCAATGTCTTGGGCAAACTAAAGTTTTATTTCTAAGAACGAGGGTGGAAGAAGGTGAGATTATAAAATGACTGCAGTCAGGACTTTCCCAGTTCACTGCCCCTTATTTACAGTACAAACGTCGCTATGCTTTCCTTTGTTCCTCAATCATTACAGACAGCATGGAAAATACTTCAATGTATTTCAGTGACTTTGCAATAATTCAATTTCACATTTTTTGGAACTGTCTTGGACCTAATTATGGTACAACAGCAAGGATTTTATGTAAGTGTAGAGTTCTAACAGGCAAGACAGCATCGGTCACATTTTAACAAATGTTGATCCACTGCCAATGAGGAGACTCTTTTTACCTTCTGGTTTTGTGCACAATCTGTATGAAGAGCAGCAACATTCTCCTATCCACCCCTTCTCTCCTCCAATTTTTTAAAATAGTTTATTTTTTCATTATTTTTTTTCATCACCATTTATCCCCCTTATACCATCCTTCCACCTCCATCCCAACCCCTCAATTTTTTTTTTTAAATCTGGTCTTGCCCCAGCTAGATAACTCAGTTTGTTACAGCATTGTCTTGATATGCCAAAAGTGTGGGTTTGATCCCTGGTCAGGGCACATACAAGAATCAACCAATGAATGTGTAAATAAGTGGAAACACAAAATTGCTATTTCTCTCTCAAGATGGGACAGTAGGTTACATATGGTATTAAGAAAAAAATTCTTTTCAGAAAAAGAGAGACAGATACTTGGTAAGTAAAATATTAGATACAAAGGCTCTAATAATACTCTAAGTAATTATTTGAAAAGGAAAGCAGCAGCTGGTGCAGAAAAAGCCTTAAGTCTTATAAGTTCCATAAGGAGATGTCTTATGAAGTAGTGAGTAGGGTGGAGACAGAGAGGGGGCATGAAGGCTCACAATGCTTAGTAAGAATTCCATGGGTTATATTTTTCAGAGACAGAGGCCGATTTGTGTATCCCCTGGAAAATGCAAAAAGCAATGTTTAACATCCATCAAACACTCATATAGGTGGAAGCGAATAAAATGGAGTCAAAGACATCTCCAAGTGGAATGATATCTTCTATTACACAAAAATAAAAGAATGTGGAAATTTATCACAGTAAGTCAACATAGCAACAAATAAAGAGAACATGATTATGGTAATAGATGCCAAAAATCATTTGATAAAATTCAGCAAATATTATTAATATTTAAAAAAAATAAAAGAAAACTGAAAATCAAAAAGTATCTTTTAATGATCATCTTCGATATGCCTTTACCTGGTTATCTTACATATTCACGTTATACTCCAGGAGGTAAAATCATTTTACGGGGGGAGGGGCGAGGGGGGGAGAAAGCGGCCCAAAGACGTTTAAGTAGCTTGTCCAACGTCACCGCCAGAGATCTAAAGCGGCAGAGTCGGCATTACAGGGTAGGGAGAGGGTAACTGCAACACGCGTTGCTCGTCGTCCGCTACCCGTATAGGCTCTAACCCGCGTCCCTCCGGGCGCGAAGACAGGTAATACAGCCACAGCCCCTGGACACCGGCGTCACCCGCTCCATGACGATATTGGGGCAATTCTGATGAAGGGGCGGCCCGTTCATTCACCGGATATTTTAGAAGCGCCTACCCAAATGCCAAGGACACAATGTAGCAGTGACCAAACACGGCCACTGTCCGCACTGGGCTTGCAGTCCAGGAGGCCTGTACAGTCTTGCTTCCAGCCCGGGACTTAGAGGATTGGGCGCCCCGCACTGCACGACCACTCCAGTGGGACGCGAAGGGGCCTGGAGGAATGGGCGGGACGCGCGAGGGAAGCACGCGAGTAAAGGACTAGAAGACCGGCGCGAGAAAGGGGAGTGGCGCGCGGGGAGGAAGCGCGGGCTGTGCGTCGGCAGGCGGGTGCCGCACCGGGTCCGGCGCGGTAGGGCCGGAACGCCTAGCCCGCGACAAACTACTCAGGAGCGAAGAGACAATCCTCCAAAGATGGGGCCATCAGCCCTGCGGCCCGGGCAGGTCCCTCGAGAGGATCTTCAAAGATGCCGTACGAGGCAGGACGTGCATTTAAAGTCCTCCTGGGCTCACCCCCGCCTCAGGTCCGTGGCTTTGGGACGCGGAAGCAGCGGGCCGAAACGGACACTCACCGTCCATGGTCTCCCTCACCGCATTCAGGTTCGCCGTCGCTGCCGCCGCCGAAGCCCCGGCGCCGCTACTCGCCATGGCTGAGGCCGATGGAGGCGGGGGAAGGGTCTGACCCGGAACTGGAGCGCCTTCCTTTCTCCTAGGCAATCACACCGCGCGTCCCTGCTCACGCCGGTGAGGCTCCGCCCCTCGCGCTTGTCGCCGGCCTGAGGCTGGGTTGATTTGAATTTGGAGCGTCGTTACTCAGCGCGGAATGTGAAGCGTGGAGTTGCCATTCGAATTTACTACGCCGCCTCGATGCGATTGGCTGGTTCGCGGACAGCGGTACTACGCGATTGGCCAATCGTTCACAAGCCCGAGCCCTTGTTGGCCTAAGACAGCGCGGAAGCGGAGAGTTAAAGAGTCTGTGCCTGTTGTGGGGGCAGGCTTGGCCCCTTCGGAACGCTGGAGTCGCCTTTGGGGACTTCTTTTTTATACACACCACTAGGTACGTTCTTTATAGTTCCTGACTCTTTTCTTGTCTAGAATTGGAAAGTTCTCTGTTCCCGGCTTCGGACCTGCTGCCCCAGGATGAATGGGAGCAGCGAGGGAGTGGGTAGCAGTAGATATGGAAGGGACGGACACCTAGAAAGAGTAATAGCGTGGAGTGGAGGTGACACCGGCGTGAGTGTCCTCCTGTGCTCTTCACCCAAGGAATCCAGCAGCACTCGACTTTCCAAGAAGCAGAGACTTTTTCTCTAATTGTAGCCCTTTTCGACTGGAGGTAATGCAATGTTGCCTTGTACTGTGGGGTTTTCAGCGAAAGGAGGATGTTTGAGAAGAGGCGACCAAAGGCGGTTAATTTCCTATCCCTAATCAGTCATACTTCCGTCACGGGAACTAATTTGCCAGAAAGGCACGCGTGCACAAAGTTTATCGTGTCTTGCTTGCTGTAAATAATTGCTGTTTAGTAACTGCAGCTTGATAAGGGAATTGCTGAGATGGCCGAAGGATGTCAAAATGTTGAGAGACTTGATATAGTGAACTAAAAGCTATAGGGATAAGTCCTCTAGTTGGAGGAATTTTGTGCCTATTGTAACATTTAGTTACCACGAAAGGAGACGTGAATTCATTCACATTCGTTAACTGGTACTTATAAGACATTTACGTTCACTGAGCTTGTTAATTTTACAAAATGATGTCACTAATACCCTACTTCTCTAGTTTTCAAGGTTATTTGGAGGATCACTTGAGAAAAATGTATGTGCTTTTTTTTTTTGTAAACTATATAGAAAAGCTCCAACAGCTTTAGGCTTTGAGTTAATTTTTGTGAAATGATTGTTGAATACACTTTAATTGTCAAAATGAATGTCTGTGGAACTTAGTAGTTTCATTATATACCTGTGATTTCGTTCTAGTTTTTTTCTCTGTGCTATGGGAGATGTCAAAGAACCAAAAATGCAAATAACACCGGAAACTCCAGGAAGGATCCCTGTTTTAAATCCTTTTGAAAGTCCTGGTGATTATTCTAATCTCCATGAACAAACTGTCTCCAGTCCTGTTTTTAAATCAACAAAATTACCAGTAAGTTACTCTTAGCTAGTGTTTACAAATAATTTTAAATATAAGTATCTACAAGGTAAGACGTTACTATGGAGCTTATATGACTTGCAATGTGCTTGTTTTTAATTGTAGTGTTCATTATAATCTAGTGATTGGGCTAAAAATAAGTGAGCTAGAAGATTTTTTAGTTAGCATTTCTCTTTTTTAAAATTTAATAAATTACATGTTAGCTTCCTGCAGTTGTGGTGTCTATAGTTGATGATATGTCTACCAATACCATATTAGAGAAGTTTTGTCACCTAACTATTTATTCTCATTTATTCAGCAAACATTATTTGAATGCTATGTGGCAAGTACAATGCTAGGCATAGAGGCATTGTGAACAAGTCAGGTCATTAGACACAAACTCTAAAGAAATTTATACTCTAATGCAGGGGTCAGCAAACTTTTTTCTGCCTAGAGCCAGTTAGTAAATATTTAAGGCTTTGCTGTTACAACTACTCCCCTGTGCCTGTATCACAAAAGTGGCCATAGTCAATATGTAAACATATAAACATGGCTGTGTTTCAATAAAGCTTTATTTATGGGCACTGAAACATGAATTTCATGTAAATTTCATGAAATACTAATATTCTATGGGGTTTTAATCTACCTTTCATAACTGGCAGATTGTAAAATGGGATAGACAGGACTAAATTAGCAACTTCCAGAGAATATGTGCTGTGGCTGGTGGTTAAGCACAAGGGTGATATGAAATGGAAAGTGCTCTTCTGGAGATTAGGGAAGGCTTATTTTTACTCTTACTGGCTACACTGGAGAATTTCTTTTGAAGCCTGATCTTTAAATCTAGTAGATTATCTAGAACTGCAAATTTGGTGGTTTTTTATGCTACATGTTCATATCAGCCTGAAACATGTATGCATTAGAGGAAAGTTTTAGTTATACAATTTATATTAAATCATTAATCTAACTTCACTGTTAATTGAATCATATCAAATCTATTAGTCTTAACCAAAAAAAAAAAAAAAAAAAAATTGAAATGACTACCACTTTGTCGTCAAAGCCAGAAGATATGGCATCTTTGGTTTTTAAGCCTGAATTTGTCAAAAATATATTCTGAATTACAGTTTAGGATTTGAATAAGAGTTTGCTTTAGTTAGATAGTTGAATACAGAAGGGGAACACTGGTTATCATGTATAATTATTTTAAGGATTAACTATTTTATGAGCTTTTGCAGGCACTTCTGTACTTAGATTTTAATTTTAGTTCATTCTTATAGAAAGTAAAGACCTTTGGTAACTAATAAATTTTTACTCTTACTTGGGCATCAGTGATACGTGTTAATTGCAGAATTTCTGTACCATTAATCTCTACTGTGATTTTCCTATTATATAATTTTAAAAGTCACCCAGAGGGAAGATCAGATATTGTAAAGGAGATACATACAGTCAAGTCAATTAATTTAGTGTGACTTGACTACTACTTGCCATTTAATTTTGTGGTAAAATCAAATTTAAAAATAAGAGGTATAAAGTTTTTATATTATAAACATTCACATTATTTTTGAAGTTGACACTGGTTAGCATTTTGATGAACTACTTTAGTTTGCTTTTACTCATAAGCTCACTTTCTTTTATGAAGACTCCAGGAAAATTTAGGTGGTCTATTGATCAACTAGCTGTAATAAACCCTGTAGAAATAGACCCAGAAGACATTCATCGTCAAGCCTTATACTTAAGTCATTCTCGGTAAGTTTTCCCTTCTCACACCACAGTGGAATAACATACTCTCACATGATGAGAGAAGGAAATTCCAGGGTTGAACATTTTTATATGTAAAAATATAAGGGAGGAAAAATTGTAATACAGATTTATCTTATCTAAATGAAAAGTAAGTTCAAAGAACTACGTCCAGAAAGATCCCCCTGCTAACAGTTCCAAATCTGGGTAGGAGTCATTTGCTTTTAGAGATAGCCTCTCCCTCTCCTACTTAAGGGACAACTCTGCCGATTCAGCACTTGGTAAAGGGAAGAGCATTTTGAAATTTGTACCTTTCTACATGACTGTGGCTTCTGCCATTGAATCGTTTTGTTTTTTTGGTGGTGTAGGATAAAACAGAAAGCTGTTTCATTGCCACGTACTTTTAGGGAAGCCTAAAAATCCCCTTTCCCGGTTAAGACACATCTAATGGAAGCATCTCTATTAGCAACAGAGAGGGCTTTTATAGACATCACCCAACTTTGACATAGGACACTTGGGATCTGAATTATATATTGTCTTGAATTCAACCTAGTAATCATATTAGCCTTAACTTCTTTGTTGATGTATTGTGTAGGTTTCCAAGCACTAGTGCACTCTTATTTGTTCAGCTTAATGATGCCTCATGTAATGAGAGCATGTACTTCTTTCGTGGAACAGACCTAGTTTTTGATTACAAATTGCAATAACTTCTCAAAAATTTTCTTTATTTTTAGAGAGAAGGGAAGGGAGAAAGAGAGAGAGGGAGAGAAACATTGATCAGTTACCTCTCACACACCTCCATCTGGGGGCCTGGCCCACAACCCAGGCATGTGTCCTGACTGAGAATCAAACTGGGGACCTATCGGTTTGCAGGGATGATGTCCAAACCCACTGAGCCACACCAGCCAGGGCTGCAGTGATCTGTAATTTCAACAGTTTTATTACTTGCCAGAGGGACTTTTTTGTTGTCAGTTTCATAGTCTAATTTTTGACATGAAAAAGTTGAATACTGGTATGACCAGCTTTTAATTTTTGGTCCTAAGATACATGTGTTGTTTGTCCAAAATAATAGGTAATCCTTTTATCTTTAGAATTCAGTCACAGACAAATATACACATGTTGACATGCTTTTGAAAATATTTGTCTGGCTTTTCTGTACCTTCCACTCTTGGCTTGGTAACTTGATGACCATTCTTAATTAATTAATTATCAATGGAATTATTAATTAATTAATTAATGTCCATCCAAAGGGAATAGAATGGAGAGTGAGCATAAAAAGATTTTCTCTTAAATCTAAATACTTTTGAGAGAGAAGGTAAAAAGAATATCTAAAGCCAAATGAGTCATAAATGAGACTAAATTTTTATTTCACACAAACTATATGCTTTATTTCACCTCCATATATTCAACCATGGGAAACTTATCTGTCAAGTCAAGAGATTTGTTGAACACTGAGGCACTGGCACTGTGAGGAACACTGAAGAAGTATGTGTAAGATACTAGTCCTCCCCTCTAGAGTTGATAATACCATTAACCAAAGTTGTGACACAGCATTCCTATATTTAGTAATAAATGATGTATTGTCTGGGTACATTTATGAATCTTGGTCTATATCAGTAGATATAGGGTAGGGGTAAGGAGTGGTTAAAGACCCTAATTTTAATTTAATTTACTAATGTAATTCAATGAATGGTTATGGCTTCTACCAAGGTTAGCAAGTATAGTTTTAAAACAGGTTGATTCATTCCTAGCAGTGAATTTGGTTCTCTCTTCCTATCTAATCCAAGTTCCCTGTATCAGTGCTTCCCACCCTTTTCATGCCACGCTACACATAAAAAAATAACTACAAGGC